CATTGTTTTCATTGTCGTCAACGCTAAAGCCGAACGAGTGCAACACTTGCTTAGCGGCTCTCCTTATACGATTTGCTTGAATCGTTTCTAAGGAAGCAAAAACCAAACGGCCGGCCCTTTTTTAGGGCCATGACATATTTCAAAAAGCGAACTACCGTTTCTGCTTTAATATTTATTTTTATAGACTTGCTGACTGTTATGATTCTGAAAAAAATCAACGGTGAAAGCGCTGCCCTGAAGGCAGAAAGCTGTCACAGCTATTTTGCGTTCACCCCTTGTTTTACGCAATTAAAATTTTTTATAAGTATCACGACAGACTTCAAGAAAGTCAACTGTTAATACAACCACAGTCAACGAATAGAAAATAGTTTTTTAGCTCCGCTGTCGACTTTGTCGAGCGGAGCTTATCATATGAGTGATTGTCCGTCGTCGTCGTCGTCCGTGTCAATGTTTTACTTTTTAGCTCCGCTGTCGACTTTGTCGAGCGGAGCTTATCATATGAGTGATTGTCCGTCGTCGTCGTCGTCTGTGTCAATGTTTTACTTTTTCGACTTCTTCTTGAAAACTACAAGCCTGAATGCTTTGATACTTGGTGTATATGTACCTTGGGTAGACCTCTCTTAGGTTTGTTCATTTCATGTTGATATCTTCAATTCTCTAATTTTGGTGAATATTTTTGTCATTTTTGGTAAAAAGTGATATTTTCGACTTCTTGTTAAAAACCGCAAGTGCAATTGCTTTGATATTACATATATAGGTACTACATGTGGACCTCTCTCAGATTTGTTCATTTTGTAATGATATCTTTAATTCTCTAATTTTGGTGAATATTTTTATCATTTTTGGTAAAAAGTGATATTTTCGACTTCTTGTTAAAAACCGCAAGTCCAATTGCTTTGATACTACATATATAGGTACTACATGTGAACCTCTCTCAGATTTGTTCATTTTGTGATGATGTCTTCAATTCTCTAATTTTGGTGAATATTTTTGTCATTTTTGGTAAAAAGTGATATTTTCGACTTCTTGTTAAAAACCAATAGTTCAATTGCTTTGATATTACTATATAGATACTACA